CCCCCATGGCTGAAAGGGCGAGCATGTTGGTGAACGGGGATTCGAACCCGCGATCCTCAGATTGCGAGTCGAGCGCCTTATCCACTTGGCCATGCCTGAGGACGACGGTTTTCCAGCTCGTGTTTAAACAGTCTGATTGCACAAAAGCCCATAGGCGCTGCGGCTTGATAGGTATGCCTTCTTATAGAATAGCATGGTTGTCTGTTTCATCCTCAGCTGCTGGGGGTATGCGAAGGTTCAACAGATATGTCGTAGAAGCAGCTTGGGTACGCGTGAGTTATGTCGCTTTTTTCAGACTGATTTCATTCTTGATTATGTCTTGGGCACGTGAATGGAACTGACCTCTGTGTTCATGGATTTTTCACCTTTTACAAGATGCCACACTTTACTTACTACTTCTGGGGTACGACTTTTTTTGCGTTTCTTTTCCTGGATGGTCCTTTTCCCCAAAGTTGGCCCACATTCTTTTGTTTCCAAACCATTAAACGTATAAATGTCCTCATTTTGGATATTACAAATCCCCGATTTAAGCACATCTTAATGATTTGAGGGTATTTGTTTGTACGACAAAGATACTAAGGCTATCTGCTGCAACTCCGAATTTTGAACTACTGACCAGAGGGAAGACAGCCAGTCAACAGCATTCCAACGTGGCTTACTAATTTGAATATTCAAAACCGTTTTAATATAACGTACTGAACTCTCTTTTAGTGTCGTGTTATCTTTCATAAAAAATAAGAGATATTAAGTTAAAATCACGTCATATACGTTTTTTTATGTTTAATAACATGTACAGAAGCATCATTCCACATGCTGCTAAAATTTCAATTGAATTTAAGTTACTTCATTTTAAAACAAATTTTTGGGTTAAGTTAGAATTTATCTTTAGTTATTTACATAAATCTTTTCTGGATTTAAACAACTTGCTTAAACTCCTGCCCCCCAGTGGCACAGCGGTATGTCTGCGGACTTATAATGCTAGAAACCGGGTTTCGATACCCGTGGTGGGCAAAGTACAGATAGCCCATTGTGTAGCTTTGTGCTTAACTTCAAACAAACTTAAACTCCATATTTTTGGCGTCTCTTTCTAATTCAATATAATTTCAGTTTGCGTCATGGAGGGAATAATGCCTTTATAAAATTTATAAATGGTCCCTTAGAAACAGATTTATTAAGAAAGTCGGGAGGGACACTTGGATATGCGTTTTATCAAGGTTTATATGAATTATATTATACACTGTGGAAGATTGTACTCAATAATGATTTCTAGTGCGAAAAATGTGGTCTTTTGAAATTTTGGATTTAGAGGTATGATAGAAGCAATTAATATTAATGGTAATCAATAATAATAGATTGAAATGTTTGTGCTGGTAGTACTAGTACTAGTTTTGCGACGTAACGCCAGGACTAGAAGGAAAAGGTAGATATTTGTAAGTGTCATTGTCAGTACTTATTCAGTATTGTAATAATTAATTGTTAAGATAATTATAAATATAATGTATTTCACGTGTAAGCTTACAAGGTAAATATAATTTAATCACTTTATATAGGATTATAATTTTAACAGGGTCATTATATTTGTAGAACCTCTGATTTTGAATATTTGCTCATCTTACAATGTTGTATATATTATATTATATGTGACCACTGCCCCTGAGGCTGAAGTTCGGTATACTAAAACTACAACTTTATACCCTTAGAAAAAATAATAATAAAATAAGAAAGGCATCTGTTTACACTAGTTGCATGCAGTTAAAAAGGGGTATTTAATTTGTTTAGTAGGAAAACACGTTATTATATTCATGCATTATTAATTTTTATGACAGTAGTTTCCTCCGCTGTATATGAAAATGAGGAAAGTATAACAAATATTTAAGAAAGGGGGTTGAATTTTTGAAAATGTTCAAAGAACGGTTTTTAAAATTATTCCAAGTTTGGCAAATTGTCATTTGAAAGTGAGATTGAAATATCTTGAGATGTTTTCACTACAGAAGAAATTACTTGGGAGGACATGAAATGATTAATTGGGAAATTAACAGAATAAAAGCCTCTGATTTTTTTGTGCTGTGTGTATTGAAGGCAATAGGATGAGAGGACACAAGTTTAAGGTTTTAAAAAGACAATCTAAATTCCAGTTAAGAAAGTTTTATTTCTCTAACAGGGTGATTATCTGATGGAGGGAGTTGCTGTTGGTATTAATGGAAGCCAGCAGTTTAAACGAATTTAAGAAGGGATTCAATGATTTTCTGGAAAATAAAAGGTGGGTTTAATTTTTTATTTTTCTTATGGGTGGGTGGGAAAAGACAGCCATGAAAGACCAAATGGTCCATTGTTCATATTTTATTGAGGTTATTGAAGATGATATCAGTGGCATAGAAACAAGTTAATAATGGCTGGAGACGGCTTGAATGGGTAATGAAAAAAAAATAAAATATAACAGCAAATGTACAACGTCTCAACAAGGTTTTGTCATCATCAGGTGATGATGACAAAACCTTGTCGAAACGTTGTACATTTGCTGTTATGTTAAAGTTTTTCTTCATTACCCATTCAAGCCGTCTCCAGCCATTATTAGTCTCAAAGTGGGTTCTCGTCATCGAATTTAAAATAGAAGCAAGTTGTTCTTATCTGTTACAGAACCTTTCAAAGAGATAGTATCTTGTCTGTATCTTTTGTAAAAGTATGTTTTGGGACATAATTTAAATTATTTTGTATAGCTAGTAATTTTTCATATGGCTGATTAAATATTTAAAGCATGGAATAGTCCTTCTACTGACTGCTATTAGATCAACTACAGCACACTAGGATTCCAGAGTATTCATGACATTAGTTCTCAGTTTATATGTCATTAGCAGGATTAAATGCTGGTTGTTAACCTGTTGATGTATGAGTAATATTGACATTATAATTATTTTACTGTTTACTGTGATATTAAGTAGTGAAGAATTGAATTAATAAATGTGACCAATTTCACTTGAATTCAGTGTCTAATTTTGCCTTTCTGGAAACTTTGATACACTGCAACTACAACATTGTGACTTTTCTCAAACTAATATCCCTACTGTGGTCACAGTATTAATATGGAATTATCATCATTTATTAAAGTATTGCTATTGCATCTTGATTAGTACATAGTTTGTTTATCTTTTTCCAGACTTTGATATTTAGTTTTAGAGCTGGGCAATTAGTGAAATTTGATAACTGGTTAATCTTCAGGCTTATTAATTGATTACATTCATCTAATCAGTTATACTCACATGAGACTTGGATAGTTGAAATAATCAAAAATAGTAATAATCATAAGCACTTATTTTGATCACTTGATCATTTTGTGACATTAATAGATTTAATGTAATTTCAATTGATTTATTTTATATAACACTAATCAACACAATCAATGCTCATAGGTAATCAATTATATCAACTTAATCACCCAGCTCTATTTATAAATAGATTACTCAAATAAATATATACCAAATGTTTGGTGGCTAAATATTTTGTAATTTGGCCAAAGAACTTGGCTAGATATCCTGTAACTGACTCTCAGTTGAGACTGTCTGTATTTTGATCCACTGAGAGATGAAAGCATACATTTGGCCTGGGGGTGTTTTTTCTCCTGGTGCCTCTAAAATTGCCTTTTTTTGTTGATCCTGGTTATTCTGGGAAGGATTTGGACTCGGTTTTTCTGACGCTTTTCTTTATTAAGTCGGCTTTTCATGAGTCCAAGTTGGATCAACCACCCCCTAATCATTTTTTCAATTAGTAATTTGAGTTATGATATTTTGTGGCTTTTCTCTGTGTCCTTTAAGTCTACTCCTCCCTTGATGGAGGAATGGTTAGGGGGTACTACTTAGTTTTTCCTTCATTTGATATTCCTAGTTCATCCTGAGAGATTTAATTCTTTATTATATGACAGGATAGATGTACTTTATTACCTTCATTTGTCTGTTTGCATGCTTTGGCTTTCCACCTCCAGGAGGACATTTTTTCAATTCCACAGACTAAAATTATTGAATTTTGGATATGTAGGGTTCCTTCTGTAGAGATACCTTGGTGAAGGGACTTTGTCTACCTGCTGTAACATCTGGGTGTTACGTGTAGATTCTTTTTATCATCACTTCATGTTCATGGGTGTCCCAGAGGCATTGCAAATTGCCATCAATCATTTGCTTTATTTTTTGTTGTTGTTGATCTCTTGACCTTCTTTGGCTCTAGCAGCTAAATAGCCTCAGATCTTAGTTTTAGGGCACTTCATTTGGGCCGACCAACGCTGTTGGCATTACTATCAACCTAAGTGAGGGGGTGGAGTAGGTCAGTTAGAGTGAGGTTACAACTATTGATGAACACCTGATATTCCTTCACTGCAGATTCATGGTCACTTTGGGTTCTAGTATCAAGGTGGTCCACCTCCATTATCCTCTCGCCCTATGGTATTTCCACCTACACCTGAGCATTGGGGTTGTGAATTTACATTTCATGGCTATCAGAGTTATTGATCATGGAAGTGGTAGTAACAGTTGATCCTGTTCTTCCAGGATTTCATTCCTGTTTATTTGTTGTGCCTGGGACAAGGGGAGGTTTGTGAATGATCAGCATTTTTCTCATCTCACCTCATTCTTTATTTTCTCCCTGGTCCACAATTCAATCCTTTCTCACCCTACTTTGCATTCTTCACCAGGTCTAGGGATACCCAGGTTTGTTGTTGCTGAGGCATTTCTCCACTTTCTCATAGTGAATGCATCTTGCCTATAGTTATGTTGTGTATACAGGGATCAGGTTCTGCAATTCAGGGATTTAGCCTTTGGTCTAGCATCAGCACCAGTGTCTTCTGCCGAGTTGTATAAATTTTCACCATGTTTTAGGCCTGGCTCAGCCACCTACAGGTTATTGAATGGGCAGTCAGGCTCTTACTTACAGGGATGGTTCTATCTCTGGGGTTGTGAGCTTCCCCCAAGTCTCTTGAATTTTATGGTATGAGGACACATGCTATCCCTTTAGTGGTCCTATTGCAACTAATGGATCTGGAACTTCAATCCACTGGATTTTCCAGTCTCTTTCAACAGGAACAACATCTTAGTTTTTGAGTGGTGGCTGGTTTGGATCACCTGTATCATTAGCATGTGTGTGTGTGTGTGTGTGTGTGTGTATATATATAAATGTATACTGCCCCTTTGTCCAAAGTTTCTCTTCACAGATATTTCACTTCGGGAATGTGGTGTGTATCTTCAAGGTCAGGAATTCCAGAGTATATGAATGGAGGATGAATCTTCATTCTGTATCAGTAACTTAGTACTTCTTGCTATCCAACAGTCAAGAGTGCAAGGTATAGATCTTTTGCAGGGGAATATCCTCATGACACATTTCATCACATTCAGTGGTCTCTTAAATTTGGTTCTTTCTCTATGGAGCCTATTCCAATCATGTCAGCCTCCTGGCTTGCCATCTTCCCGGAGTGATCAATTTTATAGCAGATTGTCAATCTCAGTCTGTACTTTCTCCTGAACAAATGGATTCTCTGTTGTGGAGTTTTACGATAGATTTGTTGTCACTTTGGGCTTCTGTTGATAGTTTTTTCCCCTCATTGATACTCAACTACAAGCTTTGGAGTCTCCGCTACCTCATTCACAGGCTTAGGTGGCAGATGTAATCAGTCCTGCTTGGGTGGGATTGCACATCTATGACTTTCCCTCACTTCCTCTACTTGCAAGATGTTAGTAGCCTAGATTGGTTGACCTAACCATGATTTCCTCTTTTACAGTTTCTTCATGTGCATCCACCTCTGCATCTTCCTACTAGGCTATCTTTATTGAGACATCCTCAACCCAACATTCTACACCAAGACGTTTTCCAGCTCATTGGGGTTTAACATCTACAGTTGCCTGAGGTATGACTCACAAGGAGTTTGTACCCACTTTACCAAATATGTTCACCATATCTTGTTTTGACCTGTTTTTTCCTTGGGTTTAGCTTTGTTTTGTGTCGTTTAGATCAGACAACTTTTTCATCTCCCTTTAGTTATCCTCAATATCTGAAGGTTTTGGACACCCTAGTGCTATCCAGTCTTCTTCCCAAATGGCCTTTTCCATTACTTAATCGAAATATTAAGGTCGTACTACAACAACCATTCGAGCCTTTGGCCTCATATACCATATATCATCTTTCCCTTAATGGGTATTTTGTTATTGCTGACATGCTGATGTCATTTGCTGGAGTTGTTGACATTTTGTAGGATTCTTTATCTCTCCCTTTAGGTCCTTCTATACCCTGATAGGTCCTTTTTTTCTAAGTCTCTGGGCACCAGAGAAGGGGATACATCCCTCTCCACAATTCTTTGCCAACTATTTATCACCTATACAATCGATCATAAGCTGATCATTTGTTTTGCCCTGTCAGGCTCAGAGGTGTTATGTGGCACAATCTCACTCATTTTGTGGTGATAGTTCTTATCTCTATTTTTGGGATACTTCGGTTTCCAGTGGTTTATCCTCACTTCCTTGGAGGTGGTTTTGCAAATATTCAGGTTGCCACCAGAGAAGGGGATACATCCCTCTCCACAATTCTTTGCCAACTATTTATCACCTATACAAACGATCATAAGCTGATCATTTGTTTTGCCCTGTCAGGCTCAGAGGTGTTATGTGGCACAATCTCACTCATTTTGTGGTGATAGTTCTTATCTCTATTTTTGGGATACTTCGGTTTCCAGTGGTTTATCCTCACTTCCTTGGAGGTGGTTTTGCAAATATTCAGGTTGCATATTCTAGGTTTTACAGCAAGGAATCTTCTGAGAGTTGCATCTCATCACCTTCAGCACATTTGTGTCTTTCACTGCCATTTCTTTGATTCACTGAGGGACATTTTAAGGGCCTATATGTGGACTTCTTCTAATGCTTTTCTCTCACATTCTTTATCTGATCTGGCAGATTTTTCTTCTGGGATTTTCTACTTCCCACCAAGGCTGTTTTAACACCATCTGGTAGATTATACGGAGGAGGGAGGAGTAATCTTGTCTGTCTTTTTCAGTCTCATACATCTTGCTTTCACTATATACCACTCTGTGGTGAGTGTTACCCACACAAGTGTGCTTTTAGCAATCCAATTCCTCACTAGAAACCCATTTGACTATACTTAATTCTGGTTGCAACAGGCTCTGTAGAAATGAGGTGTTCCATAAGACCATCTAGGTGCATTTCCGGATGGTATTACTATGTTATCATGGACTATTACTCATGGACTATCATGAGTAAAGCTAAAGGGGAT